GTACCATTATCTATTTCTTGTAAAACGTATATTAAACTTTAGTTACAGTGTCTTGCAAATGCAAAACTTGCTGATGTAGTTAATGTTTTTAATAGATCATTGACCCTGTCAATCAGACTCTGACCATTTCAGAGATAAAAAGCTAGGTTTTCATTGGCTATTATGAGTAGAGCACCTTTCCACAAATTAAGAAATGGTGTAATAATTAACAGGTGTAATGGATATGTGAATTCAGGTTTCAGTCATATCTTTCTGAGCTTTAGCTCCTGTTATCTTTGGCGTAGTTAACCCCCTGTCTACTCATAGATAATTTAACTACAATATAAAACCAGATTTATTTTGAGGCAGTGGCATTTTGCTAATATATTTGCTAGTTCTTTTACTCGTTAAAATTTAAGATTGGTAATAAGAGTTATTCTTTGAGGCTCTTCCTTTAAAAGGCACAGAACTTCAGTAACTAAACTCATTAAGTAACAATCCTGTTACAAGGAAGCATAGCAATGATTCTTTAATCAATTTTGCATACAGGGAATTTACCCAAACTTTTTTTTTTGTTCTCCTGATTTACTGACTTAAAGGATTATAAGTGATGGAGTTTGCTATCTTTGACCTACAAAGTCACTGGGAGATGGCCAAAGCAGTTCATTCAGTAGTGGACTCATTAGGTCACCCAGAAAGTAGGCAGAGGTCACTTACCACTCCTAACCTCTGAATAGAAAAAATCAAAATTTTAGATTTTTAAGATATAAATGATACTTTAGTTGCAAAAAGTTGTTGAATTTAACATTCGTGATTCAATTGCTTTGATGTAATATATTTGCACTGCAAAATACAAATCAAGAAAGAAAACCCTAAGGTTAGAGCAGTTATAGAACTGGAAAGTTCAGGAAAAACTCGCTAAATTCATGTACAACTTTAATCTTTAAATGTGACAAAAGCCTGAAGAGAAGTGATAGTTAAAATTAGAGGCTAATAAAATACTATGTAACTGGAGGTTTATCAAGGTATAGAAGTTATCTTTATTTTGTAAAGTGTTTTCCTGTTAAAGTCTTGTTGGCGTCTCAATTACTGCTGCTTACGTGATTTCACATGTTTTTATGTGATACTGTTACAGATAAGTTCTAATATACCAGCTACTTATTCAGTACACGTTTGTGTAGAGGGTCACGTATTTAATAAACTCATTTTTGTACTGGAAATTGTCATAACTGTCATCCTATTGTAAATACAATTTATTTGTGGGAAATTCAGTTGCTTAATGGCATCAGTTGTCCCATTATCTATACAGTAGTAGATCTCAGCAATTTTCAGTTTATTTTGTGATCAGTAGCCCTGATTTTTGGCATTGGTAGTGTTTTAGTACTGTAGTAAATAAGTTGCCATTTGTTATTCATACTTTTTTTGGTATGTCAATGCTACCTAGGTATAAGATATGCTTATAAAAGCAAATACATACCTGATTAAAAAAAAAGTATTTTCAAAATACTCCATAGTATGTCACAGGTACTAATGTGTATTTACAAATGTAGGTGTGAAAAAATGAGTTATTGTGGAAGAAAACAGAAATTTTTCAGTTATTTGACAGAGTCATGCCTGCTGTAACTGCAGTTGCAAGAGAAATTAGCTTTATTACATTATAGAGTGAGACTATGCCAAGATCTTCCAGGTTCACAAAACAACATCCTCGAGGAAAAAATGTAGAAGGGGCACTGTAGTTGTCTTTTTATTTCCTGTTTATAATATCTCAATAGATGTAAAAGTAGGTAGTTATTTCTTCAAGAAGATGAGAACTGGTGGGATTTGTTTCTGATGCAAGCGTGGCTTAGACCGAGATGCTGGAATGCAGCCAGTTCCTACCCTCATCTTCATAAACCATCCAGTTATTTGTTCTTTAATAATCTGTTCTTTCATTAATCTTCTCGTGTTATGATATACTTACTTCCTTAACTGGAGGTAAAACTTCTTTTTACTATATTCTAATCCTCACACACATATCACTTAATATTTTAGTGCAAGCAAAAGTACTTAAAGCAAACTACAAAACTGTACCATACCAAATGAAAATAGCTTTATTAAAACTCTTGTTAATGTAGCAAGAATTCATCCAGTTGAATCTCAAGGATAAAAATGGTAAATAGATTTTAAGAGCGTAAGTGTGCCAAGATAACAACTCTGTCTACTTCAGATTCTGCATAAATAGTTGGTATACACGGAGTTTGGAACTGTTGGGCTACACTGAAATTTACATTTTGTGAAGCACTTCATTAATTCACAAGCACTACTGTATTCTAGTTTCCACTAGAATTCATGCTTGAATATGATTATTCAGTCATAGTTATCCTTCAGGTGCTAACTGATTCATTCATTGTTCAACCCTGATTGCAGGAAGAATACAGATGAAATATGGTACAGGATGTCTCTGGAAGTAGAGTGAAATATAACGGCATTTCTAGGATCTTGAACTTCTAACTGAATGTCAGGTATTGAAAAGGTATGTTTAGCTTATGAAATATATAGCTATCTAAATGCTTTCCTTTGTTACTGTTTTCTGTTGGGAAGTTATAAAATATGAAATTTTTGCTCTAGTACAGTAAGTGAAGCCCTGCATTATGTTTAAATGAAGTAATTTACAACACTGGACAGTTTTTTAACTTTGAGTACTGTATAGCATCTTAAGCACTAACTTGCTCATGAATGTAAAATCTCTGACAGGTCTTGCAATTCCAGGTTGTAAACTGGCCTCTAAACATAGTGTTCTAATGATCTCATCCAGTTAGCATCCAAACTGCTCTTCCAGTGTCCTTGGAACTCATCAAGAACTGGAGTATTCCATGGGCTTGTTTACAGAGCAGTTAAGTCTTGGGTTTTGCTTATAGGAAAACTTAACACTGTTTTTTATAAGCCTACTCTCAGGGTATAGAAAAGAGGTAAGCAAATTATTTTGCCCTGGACAAATTTTAGTTCACTTAAGATTTCTGTCTTTCTGAAACTTCATGCACAGACACTTGGTAATTTTTGCAACAAGACAGATAGGTATTCAGCCCTTGTTCAAAAAGGTTAAGATTGAAGAGAAAGAGCTGCTTGCTCTGCGAAAGCCCAGTTTGGAAGTGACTGTATTTCATCAATCTCTGCATGATATACAAGTTCTTCAGAAATGGCATGGGCTTGAGTTGGAATTCTGCTGTACAACTTCTCTTGTACTATAGCACATATGTGGAAGACATTTTTGGTTGTTCATTTGAACCTTTTATCCGCTTGAAACTTCTTATTAAGAGACATTTATATTATGCTGTAGAGTACCTAATTAAGAAAGCTACCCATCTATAGTGACTGTAAGCAAGGTAATATCAGATGAATGAAAGCTACCAGTATACATACATTTTTAAATAATTTCTTCCGTTTCATCTCAACCAGTTAGGTTACACTTCTAAAGTTCATTTAAACTAGTAGTAACATTTTCTGTTTGTCGTAGGAGATCTGTTACTGAACTGTTTTGGTTTTTTTTAAATCATGTATTGGGCAGCCTTTAATCTACTGAACTAACTTACATCGCTTCTTTAGGGATTTGACCTCACTATCACTTTGCTGTTGTCTTTTCTTACCTGATCCATTGTTTTGGTGTTGGTTATTTGTATATATACCATTCTTTAATTGTGCAACTTCCAACTTTCACAAGTGTGGGAATTGTTCTCTGAAAGTTGCATTCCTATGAGCTGAAATTTAAATGTGCAACTGCAGAAGTTTGATTACTTCAATATTTTAAGTGTTATTTGTTTTGTAATGAGCGTAAAACTGGGCACAGCAGTTACTGTGTTCTGTAGCTGCTTTGTATTTTGATGTGACCTATCTGGTTTTAGTGGTCATATATTGTTTTTCCAGTTACACCTTTAATATGCTAGAAATCAATGTTCCAGGATGGTTATAGTTTTTTTTTTTCCGTATAACTCTGAGCTTTATGAATGTGCACATTTATCGACCCCTAGTGGGTTGTTAGGAAAATGGCTGTTAATTTCTAAGTACTAAAGTAAAATTTCAGTATTTTTTTAATGCTGTACATGCTTCAGTGTTTGGGATTTTCCTTGTTTTTTTCTGTTTGCAGCTGGAACAGCTCCCGAATTTCATTTCTGGTGTTTCCTACCTCTGAGTATTTGCCTATTGCAACAACTTCTGTTAACACTCCCAAAATATGTAGCTAGTTGTCTACATTTTAATGAACACTTACAGCTGTAGCTGTGTTTTAAAATTACAGTAGAAATCTTAAAAACAAAGGTCTTTCATTTTGTGCTGTGTAAGGTGGGCTTATTTTTCATTGGCTAAAAACCCTAGTAACTTCTTAGGTAGTATGATACTATATGCATGAATTAAAGCAAATTCTAAATCATCTGCTCAAGTTTTACTGACCTCTTAGTGCTTATTAAATATGCATAATTTATCAGGAATGTCCTGAAACCTTCCATTTCATAAAATAAACACAGTATTTCTATGCTAATCCAGCATGTAAAATACTCCATTTTTAGCAAACTTTTAAATAGCTCCAGTATTTTTAATCTAGTTGAAATTGTAATTTTCTGGGTGATGAAATTATCTCCTAACCCTGCTGTGAAAGTTTCTTAGAGTTATTTCACATGAATTAAAATCAAGTACTGAATAGTAAATTTGCATCTGACATTTAGTTAGTAATAAGTGAAGTCTGCTTGATAATTAACTTCACTATAAGTGTGCATCCTCTGTGTTTTCAGGTATCATAATGAGAAATTAAGCCCTACTGCAAATTTACCTTTCTATGCAAATTTGACACAACTTTTTATTTTGTGCATTTAATTTGATAGAACTTAACTAGTACTATCTTTACCAGTTAAATTATGAAATAGTCCTTTGAATTTTAGGTCTTCTTAAATTGCTAAGAAAAGGCCAAATAGAATTTTCTGCATTTACAGATCTTTAGCACGCCTATTGCATAAACCACATTGCTTAAAGTCAAACTTACACAGCAATCAAAAATGTCAAAAAGACCTCAAATTCATATTTTTGTGGGAGCACCCAGGATTCCAAGCCCACTGGAGGTGTCAGAGCAAAGTAGTTCAGCACCTGCTGCTGAAAAATGGGAGGAACTCCACTATTGGTGCGATACCCGTAGTCCTTCCTCTGAAAGAGCGCAAGGTGCTGGCCACTTGGACTTGGTGTTTCAGGCAGGAAGTTCTACAGTCACAGCTACAAGTGGTGACAGCTCTCAGCAGCAGCTGGAGCGGGGGACATTAATGGTGGCAAAGGAATATTTGACGTCTCTGGTACCTGTGGCAGTAACTTGTACCTGCACAGCTAAAAAGGCTGAAAGTTTAATTTATTCTGATTGTCGAACTTGTGAAGATAGGTGCACACATGAAAATGGAAATCAGGCTGCAGATCAATGCCTTCTACAAAAATGTGAAGATTCAGCTAGAGAAGATAAACAAGCACGTAGCTGTTGTTCAGGTGCCACAGACAGAGAAGCCAGCTGTTTAGAAGTTAACGGCTCTGACATTTCCAACTTGGTTGCCAGTACTAAGCAGATTAGCATACATATAAAATCTGTGGGACAAGATGTTCAGTCGGATCGTACAAGTGATCACCATGAACATCTAAGTCAATATTTGGATATATTTTTCCCCCAAAATCAAGAATCAAAACCAAAAGGAGAACCAAGTGGCTCTTTAGGCTTTGCAGTGTCAGCAGACACTGAATTTCGTAGTATAATGACTTCCAGTCAGATGGCTGTTCTGGCACAGGAGAGGAATGAGGTACAGAAAAGAATCATAGAACTGCTGGAAACAGAAGCAGACAAAAAAAACGAAGAAAGGCAATGTAATCACTTTCAATTTGATTCTGGTATTGGAACATGTCTTAATGTGGCTACAAATGAGGATAAGGAAGAGTATACAAGTTCCCTTGACCTTTTCAGCTCTGAGGGTGATGGGGCAAATGTTTGCTTTGAAGCTGCAAAACAAGAAGGGAGTGCTCAGGAAAATGAAGAGAAGTCTAAAGAACTTAATGTTTCTGCTGAGCAATTTGTAAATGAAATCCGTATTGAACCACTGAGCTCAGGAATATTGTGCTCTCAAGTAGACAGTTGTCATAAGAACTCTTCTAAAAGAGCCCGCAAGTGCGAAGATTCCTTCCATATTTTTCACTCGGTGTTTAAAGGAGAGCGGAAATCAAAGAGAGCGAAACTGAATTCTTCTGCAGCTGGTTCTGGGATGAGCGTGGATCAAGGGAGGATGGCAGAGCCCAAGAAACTTCAGAAGAAACTATCACTGCTTAAGAATTGCTGCTGCAAAAATCAAAAGTACAATGTTTTGGTCACAATAGTACATCCTTGTCATATCAAAGAAATACAGGTGAAGGCTAGACCAAAATCTTCCTGTAAAGTTCCTGTAGCAACAATTGTGGTTATAGACCAGTCAGAAATTGAGAGAAAGGTGGTGCTGTGGCGTGGTGCTGCGTTTTGGTCACTCACTGTGTTTCCTGGGGATATTGTCCTGCTTACAGGTGAGAATTCCTTTTGTTGCTTTTTTTACATGTGGATCTTTAAAATACCTGTTTGAAGTAAAACAATATGTAGTTGGTGATTTGGAACTATGGGCTCAGCATTTTTAAGTATCTTTCTTACATTGCTTACATCCATGTCATGTTGAATTTTCAGTTACCCTGCCAGCGGGGCATCAACTGTCCCATGGAAGTTTGCCCATCTCTTATGTGTAGTGCCACCACAAGCCAGGCCAGCAGGTGGACCAGAAAATTGTGATGTTATGTTCAGTCTCGGGAATACTTTCCCCTCCTGTGAAGGTCGTTTACAGCTTAGCACTAGCACCTTGAGGTGGATCGTATTGTGAATTAGTAACTGACCCAGACTGCAGAAATAGGAAATGCTACTTGCAGTTCACCTTTTTCATAACATGTTGGCTAATAATGCAAGTTCCTCCTGATAACTCCTTCATATGCTTTTAATACCGAACAAAAGCAAACCCCTTTCTATAAGAGAACGGGTATCATGTAAGAGAATACAGTACTATAAAAACACTTAATTTAGGACTGAAGTTGATGAGAACTTGATAGTGATCTCGCCATTTTGGTTTTGCAATATGGAAAAAAGTTACACCATGTAAAATTGTTTGACTACTTCTACATTTCAAGGTGCCTACTTGTCTTTGTTAAGAGTTCTTGATGTGCTTGTAAGGAGGTGCAAAGGTAGATATTTTTAAAGATTGAAGATAAGTTGGCTTTTTCTTTTCTGCTTAGACATTCTTAGTGCAAAATACATGAAAAACCTTTCTGGATAAGCCTAGTACTTTACTCTTTCTGAAATGTTGCATAGTAATTTACCCAATACGTTCACCCACTTCACTGACGTGTTACCTCCTGTGAGGCTATTGAATATTCTATGAGTTGAAGAATTACATTACTGAGAAAAATTGATTAATTCATTGTGAATTATGCTGGTAGATGAAAAAAAAAATTGCTTTTTCTAAGTGATCTCTTTCAAACTGCCTTTCATACCTGTATGTATGATGCTTTTGTAGTCAAGAAAAGTAAGATACACTGAGTTATTGTTAATACATGACTTGATAAGGTTGCTTTTTTCTTGCAGATATAATAATGTATGAGAATCTTTGGTGTGGAGAAATCATGCTGCAGTCTACATTTACCAGTCAGTTACTGAATCTGGGGAACTGCTTGGCTCTCAATCCAGAAGAATGTAAGATTATAGTGCTGAAGTTTCCACAAAAGTCACAGCAAAATAGCTCTTTAGAAGACTCCATTTTGCTGGCAATCCCTCATACACGGGATAAAACGGGCATATGAGCATCTGAGAGGTACAACAGGCTGTAGGAAAGTATCGCCTGTGGACAAGGTGTGGATATAATGGCATGAGACAGGCCTGTGGAATTTATGGTAAAGTGGAGTGGTTACCATTCAGGACTTTGAGTTCTGAAAAACTGAATTCTTTGAGCTTTGTTTAAGAAACAGCGGTTGCCCCAGGACTCAACCATAAGATGTCTGAGATTTCGTGAGGATTTATTTTATTTCTGAATTTTTTAGAGGAAGTAGATCCATTCAGGGAAAGTAATTCATTGGAGGCTGTTAAGCACAAAGTCTTTAAAAATATCTGAGTCATGGTGGATTGGAGACTGAGGGGAAAATATAGGGCAAGTATCACCGTGAACTTGCACTGTTCTTACTGTCTTCCTGAGGTCCAGCTATTTAAGGCAGTGTTTGGAGTGTGTGATCACAAATGACTATTCTTACCAAGCCGTGATACAAGGTTTCTTTTGTATTTTTGGTTGACTTCAGGATGTTATGAAGAGGAGGCAGATGAAGTACAGTGTAAAGTTGGATCAAGTGACACACATCTTAAGAATTTCTTGGCTTAGAATTATTGTGAAGTTGTTTTGGCTTTGTCAGTATAAATATGTACCAACTGATTAAAACTTATAAGCTCAAAAAAGGAAAAAAGGTGTCACTTAAAGTTTATTTTTTTTGTACAAGTTTATCCTGTAGTAGACAGTGATGTTCTTCATGGCTTATTGGCATACATATCATCAGAATTTCCACACTTCGGAGACATTCCACGAAGACAGGTTCAGAGACTGGACAGCGTTCAGTACACGCAGCTAGATCAGCTCCAGCCAAATACACTGGTTCATGCAATCTTGAAGATTCTCAGCATTGCTGTATTAACAGGTGAGTTTGTGCAGTGGACTTCAACTTCTGAGATGTTAGCTATAGGTAGAACTTAAATAGTAATTTTGCAAGGGACTTCCAGTTATTTCCCATTCCATACACCGGTGTTTGACGTGGGAGTCAAGTTTTACACAAGGAGAGCCTTTGGAATGGTCCACTCGTGGGGGCGTAGGAGTCAGAGAAGTGGAATTCAGGGACAGGAAAGAGTAACGGCCATAGTCACCTGCTGAGAGGAGATCACAGCGCTCTGGTGCTGGTCAGTAACATTCCGTGTGTGCAGGAGCAGAGTGCAGGCAGCGCGCACCGCTAACCCAGCGTTCCTGCTCACTGAGGGATTGGTGTGCTCTTGTTAAGGGGTGAACACTTCGCACAGACTGCAGTTCCTGATGTCTTGCCTTCCCAGTGAGGTGGTTTGAGCATCCCCGCGGTTCCAGATAGCATGGTACCTGATCTTTGGTGAGACAGGGAATTGGAGAGAGATGCAGGTGTGAAAACCCAGCATTGGGAGTTGGA